CAAAATTTAATTAATTAATCAATAAGCATATTCCCAAGTTTGTAATAAAATTAAATAAATAAAACCTTATCAAATATAAAAAGGATTCTACTATGAAGCCACCATAAAGTGGCCACCTTTTCTCTCTCTTCCCAAAAAAAAAAAAAAAAAAAAAAAAAAAAAAAAAAGCTCATCTTATGAAGAGCAAGCTAGTAAGGTATATAAACCATCCATCATATTAACAAACAGTGTACCATATTTTCTAAAAAATAACCTTGTATAGTATATAGTCTCCATTTTTATTTTTTATTATTCCTAACAAAAATAAATAAATAAAAACTTAGCATTATAATTTTATCATTGCATACACCAAATTCTCTCTCTTCCAAGTATAGTAGAGCTAAGCTAAAATAAGCTAGCTTCTCCATACCTTTGCTACGATTATTTTGTTCGACATGAAGATAAGATTATAAGTTTAGCCGAGCTTAATTCTTGGAGCCACAATTAGGTGTCTACAATATCAGGTTTAGATAGCCTGGCGGCCGAGCGAAGTCCGGTGTAGGTCATGAGTACTACTTGTACTGGGATGGCTTTCTTCCCAGCTAATTTCATGCTTCAAGCTCAAAATGATAATGACAATCATCCTCCTCCTTCTCTCTCCTCTATCCTTCCTCAAGACTTTCATCATGGTTTATATACTCTCTCTTTTAAGTATTATCGATAATTTTATCTATTTATCTATCTATCTGTCTATCTATCCACTTGATGCATCTGATAGAGTATATCAACTAATTCTGCTGCCTCAGCCAAAAGCTTAAGCTGATGCTTGAGACACAGTATTGATTTATGTATTCTATCAGTATTGTTTTCGAGGATTCTCTCCGGTTACATACTGGAGAGAATCCCGATCTTTGGTGTAACATAACAATTGACTTTTGTGAAATGAAAATTTTTATGTGGTGTAGGAGGGATTGCACCAATGTTAGGGAAGAGATCGATGTCATTTACGGGGATCGATATGTGCAACAACGAAGACGGAAACGGAAACAACAACCATCACAACCAACACCACCACAATAATAACAATGTAGGAGAGGATGAACTATCAGATGATGGGTCACAATTAGGAGGAGCAGGGGAGAAAAAAAGGAGATTAAATATGGAACAAGTGAAAACCCTTGAAAAGAATTTTGAATTGGGTAATAAATTAGAACCTGAAAGAAAAATACAATTAGCTAAAGCACTTGGATTACAACCAAGACAAATTGCTATTTGGTTTCAAAATAGAAGAGCAAGGTGGAAGACTAAGCAATTAGAGAAAGATTATGATCTTCTTAAGAGACAATTTGATGCTCTTAAAGCTGATAATGATCTTCTTCTTGCTCAAAATCAGAAACTCCAATCTGAGGTAATTTTTTTTATTATTTGGATTTCAATCAAGTGTTTTGATAATGGGAAACTTAATTGTGCTTCTTCTTTTAATTCAATAATTTAATTTTCTTTTTATTTATTGCTTTTTTTTTTATATAAAGATTGTATATCATCATTATTTCTTTCTTTGTCACCTTTTCTTTATTTTATGGGTCACTTTTGGGATTATGTAGATTGATTGATCATGTTATTACTGTATATATGAAAAGGGGATTTGAAGAAAAAAAAAAAATCTTCAATTTGTTATAATTAATGGTTATATTTAATAAATGTCTTTACTGGTTTACAAAAATCTACATTACATTTTCCATCTATTATGATTTAGTTTGTTTGTGAAATGTATATTATAATTTGTAAATAATTTCATGTAATTTGCAAATGCGTAGATATTGGCGCTAAAAAATAGAGAGCCAACAGAGTCAATCAACTTGAACAAGGAGACAGAAGGATCAAGTAGCAATAGGAGTGAAAATAGTTCTGATATAAAGTTGGATATTTCAAGAAATCCTACAACAACAATTGAAAGTACACTTGATCTTTCAGCCCATAATCCAACTACCACGGCTGCCGCCGCCTCGGCCGCCACCGCCTCTGGAAGAACCTTCTTCCCACCGTCCTCGATGAGGCCCAATGGGCCTCCTGTGGCCCAAGTACTCTTCCAAAGCCCACAACAACAACCACCCTCAGTCAAAGAAGAGACCTTTACTAGCATGTTTTGTGGCATTGATGATCAAACTGGGTTTTGGCCTTGGATTGACCAACAAAATTTTAATTAAGTGTTCTTTTATTTTTAATTATGATTTTTTTTTTCCCTTTTGTTTGGGAGCAAATATTTTGGTTTATGATCTCACAAGAATAATTAAGTTACTAAAATTTGACATGGTAGTTTCATTTCTCCTTTTTTTTCTTCTTTTATTTAATGGGTACTTTTATTTTTGGTGTATATTATTCAAAATATCATGTTAAATGGCTACTTTTTGTTACTTTAGATCTCTTAGAAGAAAGTAATAAGGGTATGTGCTTCTAAATCATAAATCAAATTTGTAGATTTTTTATTTATTTATTTATGTACATATAAATTTTGATCTCTCCTACATTTTCCACCTCCACCATCTCTAGTTGCCTATTTGCAACAAAGGTTTCATTTTTATTTAATTATGTATAAATTAAAATACTAGTATTAAGCGAATATGAAGATAAGTTAATTTTAATTTATATATAATAATGAAGGTCTTTCTCACATATATGGTGAATTATTCACTAGCATATATATCCAAGACTACAATGATGTATGTCCAAGAGACAAATATGTTGTGTTGCCATATTTAATATGATAAGTTAGAAATTCAACTTGGTTATGCAAAATAAATTTAATGACTATCCCAAATCACAAGCTATTTAACCAACGTTAGCCTTGATTAGAATGTTAATTTCTCTTCTCCTTTCTTTCTCATGAAAGGAGAAGGGCTTGATTAGGAAACCAAGATCATTCCTTTATATCTCAGTGTCTCACATATAGTCGTTAAATGTTCATCACTCTAACTTACTGTTGTTTATATCTTCATAACAATTATAAATATATAATAGGATTGTTGTAACATGTTTCCTATAACTTTTAACTATTTCAGATCACAAAACTACAATCACAAGGATTTATATTGTTCAAATTATTTTGAATCATATCATTACATATAAGTTTGAACTAGACTATTTCGTACACACAATAAAGTTCATTTTTGACGAAATAACTTTTGTCGATATAAAATAGGGTTAACTAACTTCAAACTTATTATTGACCGATTAATTTAACTCAATCCATTTCATACATACAAATCTTGTTAAAGTCTTCAATCCATCAATAAATTGTATAATATTGAATGATGTTACATAGTATTATATTTAATTTCATTAACCCTAAAACAATCATTAATTCATCATCTTCATCATCATACTTTAAAAGTTCAATTTGAATGGATTGCATATTGGACAAGATTAGAATATGATGGTCAAATTATTCACCTTTAAATATTAGAGTTGTTGTAAGTTTTAATAAAAATGGAATTTATATAATTTAATAATTTGCATTGGCCATACTCATTACCCAAAACGGAGTAACTTTTATAAGGTGGCAAAAAAGTAGGTAATGATAAAAAATGATGATTGCATCAATCACTGCATGTTTTCTTCATGTAATTAACCTTTTTATGGTCATAGGAGAGCGTGAATAAAATCTACTTGAAGTTAGTGAATAAATAAAAAAATAAAAAATAAATAAAAAAAATTGTACTACGAGTAGTAAATTCTTTTTTTTTTTTTTTGAAAAATTAATTTTTTAAAAAGAGAAATTGGATTTTTTTTTAAAAAATAAAAATAAAAAAGAGTATCAAGCACACATTCCAAGGAAGGAAAACGACAAGAAGAAGGATGGCGAAAAAATCAGGGGGAAGAAAACAGACGGAGAGTGGGAAATAGTCGCTTTCGTGATTAGGACGTTGGCTCTCTTTATTTTGACAATGAAAGCTTTTTTTATTTTTGAGTTTTTCTATAGTGAAGTGAAATATTAGGGTGTATATACAGAAATACACTTTGTATATATATATAACGTGTGTATTGTACAAAGTGTATAATCAATACTACAATTATTAAAAAATTGTTAACATTGTACAAAAATTGTTAGGTGATTCGAGAATATTCATCTAGGTTACTCTTCATCTGTATCTCTGTTTATTTTTAAATGTATTACGAGTATTTTTTAAATAAGGAAGTTTCAATTTATATGTATCATTTTTCTTTAAATTAACTAGTTTAGTAGTTCTCTCTATATCTCTCCTATCACATAGGCCTATATTTTTTCTCTCACTCTATCTCACTCTACTCTAAAAATTGTCGAGGTTTCCGTGAAAATCAAATGATGTAACTAAAAAAACGGAGAAAGTAATAAATATCAATCATCTTGCTTTTTACAATAACTTAAACATTGTACTACCTTCATTCCATAATAATAGACATGCATGACTTTTTTTTCATAACTTTGTCCATATTTTTTTTGCTATTATATATATAAAAAAATGTTAATTAGTTTTTGTTGGATAATGTATATTACTCCGTATTACAATTTCAAGTATTTATTCATTTATACTAATACACAATCAAAGATACTAAAATTCAAAGTTGAGAAAAAAAAAAAGTCACGTGCGTCAATTATTATGTGAGTTCAATTAATCGAATGTATATATATTGTCGATCACCTGATTTAAACTCATTAGGCTTATTAGTTCTAAACAAATCTTTGATCTTATTATTACGTAAATTACCTAATTTAAAGATATGGTGGGGTAGAATAGAAGTCTAAACTTATAAACCTAAACTTATTAAATTAATTAGCCAAACCACAAACTTATATTACCCCCTAAATTTACATTATCATATCTTCTTAGATATAAGCTAAGTAAAAATAAAGTGAAATAAATAGAGTCTACCTAAACTTTGTTATAGCAATTTAACAGTACACAATACTTGTATTATATATATATATATATATATATATATATATATATATATATATATATATATATATATAGAGAGAGAGAGAGAGAGAGAGAGAGAGGGAGAGAAATAGGATCATATGAGACCACACCTCTTATGTGAGAACACTATTATATGTGAGAACTCATTATAACCATTGGATCAATTGCATCCAACGGTCACAATACAATCCCGGTTTAAACAAAACCATTTTATTTCAGAACACTTTCTGCATTTTTTCTCCCTCCTCCTTCCTCTTTCACGCACAATTTCTCTCTCCTCATTCAATTTCATTCGGTTTTCTTCTTTCTTTCTCTCTGAAATCTCATCACAACTTCTCCAATCTTCATCAATTGTTCGTCAATGTAAGTTTATTGTTTATTTTTTGCTGTTTTCCAATTAATTTTTAGGTTACATTCATTGTTTATCTTCATTTTGATTTTCGTTTTATTTGTGCTGATTTCATCTCACTAATTTTAGGTTACTTTGTGTCGATTATGTTTTAGTTTTTTTTTTTTTTTTTGTTGATTTTAGTTTTATTTTCATTTATTGAGTAATTATCAAGTTCATTTTAGTTTATTTTGCCTGAATTTAGGTTTTAACATATATTCTTATTTTGGTTATGTATTTTCGAAATTAATTTGTGGTTTTGTTGCGATTTTTGCTCGATTTTGTTGCGATTATGTTGTAGTTTTGGTTTGGTTGTGAGTGCTGTTAAAGCTAGTATAAAGCTTCCTTCGAACATTCAAGGTCCAAACAGTTAAACCCCTGTTTTACTTATGAATTCTAATTCGAAAAATTTGCAACAAGAATTGAGGATGCACGTAAACTGTTCGATAAAATGTCTAAGTGAAAATCTAAATGTAATGCAGTAGATATCAGGTTGGGGGAGACAATGGGAGGTCTGCTTTGTTAAATATTCAATGAGTGTGCTATAAAAGGAGTCATAATTTGAGTAGAATTTTGATGTTAGGACGGCTTTGTGATATTTAAACTCGTAATCCCCGCATTTATAAATATTACTCCGTATTTACATTACTCACTGTAGTCACATTTACTATTATCGCCTTTACTCTCTGAATACAAGTTTCTGACTTGCTATTATTGATCTCAATAATATGATATTGAAAATGATTCTTTGATTAGTGCTTGCTTTCTTGCTAGAAATGCGTTCTAGGCTTCTAGCCTCTTTTTATAATTAAATTTTAGTACTAAAATCTAATCTAAGGCTGTCTACCTTGTTCCCATTGATATTGTTTGAAAAAGCTGTGCTAAGCAATGGTCTTCTGTTTTAGAAAATTTTGAGGTTTGACTACTTATATCTAGTTTAATGGCTGACTTTAACATTTTGGGTGATTATTACTGTGTTAATTTTCAACTCCTTACTTATCTCATCTGCCCCCCCCCCTTTTTTTTTTACCTTTCCTCTTTGCCCGAATCTTCTTCCCCATCAATAGATGATGCTTTGAAGGCGTTCCTATCAAGGTCAGCTTCCAGCAACTCCTTGTCTGCCTCTGGGAAGGCTTCTGACCAGCCCAAGCGAACACCAGTATCAAGTGCTGAGATGGAAGCTATACTGGTACAACATGTTGTTCTGAAATGAAACCTTTTTATCTTTTAACTCCCCTTCCCTCCTAAACTCTTTGAAATCTCAACTTCATGTTTTCCTAACTACTTTGCGTTCTCTTTTGCCCTCCTTTTATTTTTCTTTGCAGTTGGGTGGCTGCGTTTAATCTCATTGAAGTAGTCAATGACTATGTCTCATAATAACATTTTGGTGAAAAAATTGGTATTGGATTTCTTTAAACATATTGTTGCTGCTGTTTCAACCTTGGTAAAGATTAAAGAAGAGGCAGCATAGGTAGGATTGGTCAAACCAATTGGTGTATACCATACCACTTATTGATATACCATATATTGAATGGAATTTATACTATTATTGCAATTATTTCAAATTGCGAGACTGTTAAATAATTGCTTAGAAAATTAGCATGATTTCTTCAGCTATTCTACTTGACATTGTAATTTGATGAGGTCTTTTGCTGTTCATGCTATCAGGAAGCCTGCAAAACTTCTTGATGTAAAGTCCGTGCTGCGAGATATGAGCAAATGATTTTTTGCTCATTTATCAAATGAGCAAACAATTATTTGTTCATTTAAATGAGCATTAAATAATGTAGTGTTTGAACTGTTTTTTATACAATTACTAACTAATTTGAGTGTTTTTCAGGTTAAATTGTTGAAATTGAAGTTGTTAAAGTTGAGGTTGTAAGAAATTGTAGTTTCGCAAAATTCAAGGTATGTGATTGAAATTGATTTTTTTATAGAAAAAAAAAAACAAAAAAAAAAAAAATTCTGAATTTTGCTATAATTTGTTCATACGTAAACATTGCGATTATGTTCAAGTTAGTATATAAAATCCAGTTGATTGTGGGCTTATATTAGTGATTATGAGCTATGTACCTTAAGATTGAGGTGAATGTCATAATATAAGTCCAGTATTAGGGAAGTATGTTACTATATACTATCTTATTATCCCCATCCATGATCAATTGCTTTCGGAATTATCTATATATCTTGCTTACAAATTGATTTAAGTTGAACAGTTATTGCTTTTTGTATTTTCTAAAAGTAGATAGAAAATTAGTAAAAGTAAACCAATTAGTCTTAAAAGTATTATGTTTATCAAGTGTTAAAACGATATTTAGAGATTATCGACTTTTGTTTTCGGGAACTTTGTACACTTGGAAAGTCTTATTTTTCTAATGAGACTTCTACAACCAGTTTTGCTCCAACTAGTGCTTCATAAATACAGATCCTCTTCACAGGTTTTGCTTCAACTAGTTGTGCTTATTATTGTGCTAATGAGAGTCGTATTTATGAAATTGCTACTAGTTGGAACTCTTATTTTGCTATTATTTATAATATGTTGCTTCAGTTTTGCTCTATAATAGTTGGAAGCAAGTGATTTGCCTGGTAGTTCTTTGGAGAACAGTCCTCATAGTTTTAGAGACAATCAAACTCAAGCTAACAGCACAAATGAGGGCAATGAATGTACCAAATGGTCCTCAGATTGAGGTCCTTGATGGTGCTCAATTAAAAAAATGAGCTTGCAAATGAGATCCTAAATGATGCTCAACAGGATGAGTCTGCAAACGAGATCCTTGCTGGGACTTGTGAACAAAGTGATGTTGAAGGAAATGTTGATGTCGGTCCATCTACTGATTTAAATCAATTGAGAGAAGGTAGTGAATGCACTAATTTACATCAACTGAAAGTTCAAGCTAAAATCACGCTAGAACTCGCCTCATATGGGGAGAATAGATCAGAGACAATTACTAGTGGGCTTGCTGTAGGTTCTTCAAAAGAGGGCTACTTGCTGATGAATTTCTCAGGAACCTTGAAGAGGTGGAAGTGAGGAGCTTATTGATTTAGAAGAAGCCCATGAAATGTCTCATCATTTTAACACTCAAAAAGAAAATATTAACTTACTTAGTGAATTAGATGATGAAGTCCATGTATCTGAAGAGGTAAATGGTCAAAGTATGTGTATATGTGCTTCTTCATTTATTTGTCTTTATAAATCAAGTTTTAATTACCTTATTGTTGGCTTAATAAAGAACAATGAATTGCCAATATTATTAGCTTGAAGGGAGGCACTATAGGGTGTATTGTAGTAGTTACTACCTAAATGGCAAAGGCTGGACTACACTGTAGAAAAACATTGTTTTCATTTTTTGTGTAGCATCAGATGTATAGGTAGGTGTCAGCTTAATGAAAGTAAATACTAGTAAAAAAAATTTGTTCATTTGTTAAATGAGCATATAATTTTTTGCTCATTTATCAAATGAGCAAATAATTTTTTGCTCATCTATCAAATGAGCAAAAATGTGCAAATAATTTTTCCTCATTTATCAAATGAGCAAAAAAATTCAATGCTCATTTGTCAAATGAGTAAACTATTTAATGCTCATTTGTCAAATGAGCAAATGATTCTTGCTCATTTTGTCAAATTAATGCTCATTTGTGAGTGTGTTTGAATGTTTTAAATACGTTAGCCTACTAGCTCAAGGGTAAAGCATTGTGCAAATGCACAAAAGATGTGGGTTCGAATCCCACGTAGGTTCATTTACTATGTAATGTGGAGACACAAGTTTGTAGTGTGAGCAAAGAAATGAGCAAACTACACTCAATTGGTCTAGAAACTCAGAAACCTAAAAGGGGTATATTTGGGGATATTAGAGAAAAATAATGGGTGGTTTTGAGAATTTGAGTAAGGTTTTAAATTGATATGCCATGTTTAAACATTACAATTTCAGCTGCATATCCCCTGTTACAAGATTGGAGTTCCTACTCTTATTCCTCGAAGAATATCAAAATGGGGTTGCTGCAAGATTTGAGGCTCATGTAAAGGAATTAGTAGATAATTTGAAAAGTACTTCACTTGAAACTGTAAGAGAAGCTACTTAAGAGCTCAGGATTGCAGGCTAATAGGGTTCTTTAGCGTTTGATAAAGCTACAAGCAGCTTATAATGCCAGATTGTATACCTGAAAAACTGCAAATGTCGTATGTGATAACTTCTATTTATGAATTAGCTGAGGGATACATACATATTAATTTAGTTCTTCTGAGTGGTTTAATCTTTTGTGGATATATAAAGGAAAAGTATTGAACAAAGCATAGTTGAGTAAAAAAGGAGAGATGATCAAGTTTTTTTTTAAGTTTTTATTTTATTTTTATATATAGTTATTTATAAATACAGCCTATGTAGAATTTGAACCTACATCATCTATGCATTTGCATAGTGCTCTACCACTTGAGTTAATAGGTTTTTGATATAGATCAACACTCTCTCATAAAAGCAGAGGAAAACAATCGCATGTAGAAACTGAAATGCCTCCATTATTACTACAAAAGCCACCATAGCTCAAAAATTACCCAACACATGCTCACCCAACACAACTACTACCAGGAAGTATTATAAAGTAAATTAGTAACAAGTGATTATGCACCCCTTTAAACACACTTACACACACTCTCAATAATTAGAAGTGAAATCAGATTCTTAAATAAGATGTATACGACCAGGAGCAAACTCGCACACTTACACTTACACTCTTACACTCACTCTCTCTCTCTCTCACACACACACACACAATATATTTCATAATCTAAAATTAGAACTGAAATCAAAACCGCAAGCAGAAAGATGAGGGGGAAGGGGGATAGGTTTGTGGAGGGAAGTGGAAGAAGGGAGTATGGTTGGTGTGCAGGAATCAGACCAAGAAGAAGGGGGTGGGGCTTGTGCATGGGCAAGCAGACCAAAGAACTCAATGCTCATTTGTGAAATAAGCAAACAATTCTTTGATCTTTTGTCAAATGAGCAAATAATTGAATGCTTATTTGTCAAATGAGCAAATAACTCAATGATCATTTGTGAAATTAGCAACTAAGTATTTGCTCATTTGACAAATGAGCAACTAACTTATTACCATTGCTCATCACATATTATCAAAACAAGCAGCTAAAGAAACTTATACATCGCATATTATCAAACTAACTTCTGTTTTTAGCACTCATTTTACATGGAAAACATCTAATTCTACCAACTACATTCTTCTTAAGCCGAGTAATCATCTTATCAGCATTAATAGTCCCTTGTTCAATTCCATATGATAGCATTCCTTAAACGACAAATAATTACCAAGCATTTTCTAACAAGCATTTTATCAAACACCTTGTATGCACTATCAGGATATTCAAAACATACTCATTGATAATTACCAATTGTTCAGTTAGTTGATCAATCTCTACCCTGACAATGAAATTGAGAACACTCAAAGTAAAAAAAAACGAGCAAAAATTAGAAAGTCAATCTCGTATAACCAAAATTAAGAACATTCATATCAAAAATTTCCAGAATACTAAAATCGAAATTAAAAAATGTGAAACCCAAAATTTTGCAATCAAAATTGCACAATCATGATTTAAAATTCAAATTAAATTATAGACAACAACGAAAATCAAAATTAAATCAACTTACAGTGCCTTAATAATTGATGCAATTCGAAATTTTCAGAGGAGTAATATCGAAATTGAAAAGTTGAACAAACCTTGATAATTATCGAGCCTTCAAATTCTTTAATCGAAGTTATTCGTACTTGTGAAGAAGAAGAAGAAATCAAAATTGTCAAGCCTTCAAATGGATTAATCAGTCGCTATTGATAATTATGGAGCTTGGTTTTGCGGAGAGAAACAATGAGAAAGTTGAAGCAGTTAAACAAGCTTTCTCTTTTAATCTCGGCCATTGAATTTCATATAATCTAATGGCTAGTATTGGTTCTCACATAGATAAAGGTTCTCACATAAAGGGTGGTTCTCACCGGATCCCAACCCTATATATATATATATATATAAACATATCAATCGAACAGAATGTGATAAATTGGTACGTTCTTTGTACTATATTATTATTATTATTATTATTATTATTATTATTATTATGGTGCTCTTGGATTAATTAAGTTTACTGAAGTCTTTGTAGCAATTCCTGTTCATTAGAGTATGGTGATGTCAAAAATTAATCAAATGGGCCTACTGTCATCCACCATATTCAAGAAGAGGAATCTTGTCATCCAACAAAGTCTTGCAAGATCGATCAAAATATAAACCCTTTGATGTGGAGGAAATCAAGCAATGTTAGAATTTCATAATTTTATGTATAAACATATGGGCCATACTCTATTTGGATATATATATTGATTGAATTTTTTGGGAGAATAATAATATTTATGAATCAAACTTTTTAATTTCTCACTTGAAATGATTGCAAGTCTACTCTTGTAAGTTAGTTTCAATTTTGCATAAACTATATAAGTCAAGTTAATACATATTTCAAAACTTAAATCATATTGAATTTGTTTAAACAAGTTTTTGTATGTTGTATGGATTTGATCAAGATCATATAGATACATTAATTATGAATAAAATTCTACATAAATTGCTATATTATTTACATTTTTTTTAAATTAAAGTAGTCTTATAATTTTGTTAAGTTATATTTACAAAGACATCACACATGTATGGATATATTGTGGTAAAATTCTTATTATTTTTTCTAAAAAAATTGAATCTCCAACTAATTATCAAAACATATCACATGCCTTGAACAACCTCTCTTGCTAAGGGAGCTCTACACAAAATGACACGATTTAAGGGACGGAGCTCTCATCTTCTCTTGTTTAAGAGCCTAATCGAAGGTATATAGCCACCTCCACGTACATTGTTGTATTACAATATCTTTGTGCATAATAGTTAGGAAACGACAATATAATACATCAATCTTAATCCATATAAATGATCTAATACGCGATTGTCTGTAATTCTTACAAATTCTTACATAATCCACTTGTTAGTGCACGAAAATTCAACGTGTATGGTCTAGTTACTCATATAAATTCATCTACGGAGTAATTTATATTTAGTAGAATGTATCTAACATTAACAAATTATTCAAAAGTGTTAAGACATGCCCATCATTTCTCCTTTTACATAACCCTGCCTTGTACATAAAGTACTACACAACTTGTTAGAAAGCTATATATATCTTTAATTCGTTATGTACTGTTCACCCGAATCCTCTCTATTTGCAATTCAAATGAAAAATAATAATAATACAACACTAATTAGCCCTTAATAAAATTTGTATTTTTTTCCCCTTTGATCTTATTTTTATTTTGTTCCATAATCATATTAGCTATTTTTCTAAATATATTGGTCTTAGCTATATATAAACTCGTTTTCACAGTTTGAAATTAAAATAAAAAAGTAAAATAGTTTCATCTATTGACGGACCAAAGCATATTATGGCGTATCATAATTTAATAATTGAGAGGTAACCGAATAATTTTTATACTATCTTCGTTAATTATTATGTACAACAAAGGGGTATTATTTGTAAGACATAAAATATTCCTTTGTTGCACATAATAATTGACGAAAGTAGTATAAAGATTTTATAATTGGAAGTGCTACCTGTCTTAGGCAGATAACTAGATTGAAGATGTTCTACTAATTAATACAACCATTGTAAGATCATTCCCCAAATATAAGGGCACATTAATCAAGTAAGTGTTCTACTCAATAATAGGCCAAGTTTTTTGGGCATTAGTTAATTGAGAATAAAACATGGGATCATGTGCAAAAGTACAAAGATTAACTTCTTAATTAGCAGGAAGATGGATGGAAATTTTGGCATTTTGAGTGTTCATTTAGATGTCAAACAACATGATCTTAATAGTGTAATTTTTTATTACTATATAATATTAATTTTGAATTGATCGACATACATAAAGTAGTGAAAGATTAAGTAAAAAAAATATTTAAAAAATAAATCCAGATGCCCTATAAGTGGCAACGTGGTTAGTGGTATAATTGGAATTAATTAATTACCTAATGAAGATTAGTATGGATTTAATTGAAGATTTTTGCAAATATTCTAGGAAACAAATCCTGGCATGTTGATGGATCATTCAAATTTTATAATCAACAATAGCATGTGGTAGGCACCTGGGCTTGCAAGAACATGGAAGCTCCACGAAGTAATATCTAGCTTTTTTTTTTTTTTTCCTAACATTTTCTTTATTGTTTTGATTTTTTATAAACAGGCGTATTATATAGTATAAAATTAGTCTGTCAAACTCTACGTAGCTTGACTCTGTAAAGGTATAATT